ATATTCTTTCAGCTTTCTAAAATTTCACAAAACAGTGCTATTTACAGGACAATTCACTTGAAACACATGTTACACTTTGTAAATTAGATAGAAATGACGTGACAATATACTTGATAATGGATTCAATCCATCATCTCTAGATTAAAAGGTCTGTTTAGTCAACATTCACTTGTGTTCAGACTAGCTGAAGTTGAAAGTTTTATGGGTTTAAGGCCTGTCGTGTGATAATCAGGAATGATAACTGCCAAAAAACATACAGGATTTTTGGGAACGAAGTCTAAAAATTCCCTAAATGCATGATTCAAGCAATAATCTCGGGAAGTCAGTGACATGGTTTAAATCCCAGTTGTTACTGAGTGCTACCCATTATAAGACGAGGAGGAGACACAAACCCAGAAGCATTGTCAGCATGAAAACAGTTGATGTGACTCCTATCATTATAAAGAAAACGACTGTTAAAAACTAAGGGGCAAAGAGAACTATTACACAGATTTCATAGCCTCCTACCAATGATTCATTAAGTTAAAACTTCATAACTTGATAGATAATGTTTATAGAATGTTTTCTTTTTGCTTTATGATTTGTATGAATAGAACCTAGTCAAAAATAAATGAATTCCAATCTTCTCAAAAGTTTTAACCTAGCTTTTTGAACCGGCAACTCAATCATATCCAACTCGATAGTTGTCAGGAAAACTAACAAGATGTGATTTCAAACCTAAATCAGTTTTACAAGTGTCTGTAATTTCCCGCAACTGATATTCAGGTTTAGATTTTATCAGTTTCTGTCCCAATATGAGCATCCTGAAATTTTCCGTCACTAGTTTTCAGCAGATATTTGAGTTGTGGTTAGCAGTGTAGTACAGAACACATGTTTCATCCCGTTCTCGATTCATCAACTGTATGTACCGGCATCACAGTGTTGATATTCGCGCTGAGATTATAACCTGGTGTGTATCGCTTCAAATGTCAGTGCACGATCCACCGATCTACAGAACCCAAGCAGACGTCAACTTGTTCAACAGGTGTGAAGTCACATTCAAGGGAAAAACCCGAGTCCTAGATTTTACTGCAAACCACAGCCAAAATATATACTAAAACCTTGTGACGAACAATGTGTCATGGAGATCTATTCATAATGTGCATGATAAACAGAGACTAATCAGCTGCAGTCCTGAATATCAGCGATAAGAAATCACAAACTCAGTAACAATTGGGATTTAAACCATGTCACTGACTTCCCGAGATTATTACTTGAATCATGCATTTAGGGAATTTTTAGACTTCGTTCCCAAAAATCCTGTATGTACAAATATACACTAAACCATTTTACCCTTTAATTTTCCTCTAAATTTATTAGCTTCTGTAGACTGTCGATATACGGAAATGCTAACGAAGCACATACATTTTTAAATTTTCGTTTTTTTCTTAATTTGATGCACCAATTTGAAATTTCCACTTTAGGACTGACTTGAGTAGCTTTTCTACTGATTATAAACAGTTGTAAAAATAAGCACATTTGCGATTTTACTAATCTTAGTAGTTCCATTAATTCTTGAAGTTTCAAACTCTTTAGAGAAAAACGTATAAGGAATAAAAATAAAAAAAAATTATGAATTGATAATAATAAATACAAAGTGACTCACTGATAGGACATATTTCTTCTATATACAGACACCAGACTTCATCTGTTAGCTAGCCAAAGGTCCTAACCTTTAGAGCTTTTAAACATTAAATTAACTGTGAGCATTTAGCTACGTCATTCATTGATTCTTGCTTTGTCTATAAAGTTAGTTCTAACATAAAATAAATGAATATTTTCATAATCCATAGAGTGGATATGAATTGTAAGTTAATATAATAATCATCCTATTGATGGATAACTATTCTTAAAGTAGAAAACTTGTTTGGATAATTAGATTCGAAGATGCTTTTTTATTACGAACTAAACAATACTTGGAAATATATTAAAAAGCCAAGATATCTAATTAACATTTTCAGTAATTTAGTTAAAAATAGTGACTTGACAAAAATTTTCACTAACACAATTCTCTAAAACATACACATAAATATGCATATAACTATATTGTTTACTTGAATCTTCTTATTGATGTTTAAGACTGCAATTGATCAATCTCTTATTGGTATATGTTTGGCTATCAGAGCTCAGTAGACTCAATAAATAACGCAATAGCGTTTGAAGTAAACAGTACTGGATTCTAGTCGCAGAGTGAACATCAACTCTGACATACAAGTCTATCCAGCTGACAAGTCCCAAATAAAACAATAAGTGCATCAATCTGGATTCTACTGTTAACCACTATTCATCTTTGCTTATAATCTCATTAATTATTAAAGAAATCACTGAAGACAATGGTGGATGTGTCGCTCAATTTCGTGGATTAGTTGAAGTTAGACATTAACACCGTTGGATGCCAGCCGGCTCAGTGATCTAGTGGTTAAGTGCTCGCACGCGAAACCATTAGGTCCTGGGTTCGAACCTCGCAGGGGGCGAGGTCGTGGATGCTCACTGCTGAGGCGTCCCTCAATAGGACGAAACGGCCGTTCAGTGCTTCCAGGTTTCCCATGGTGGTCTTGCTTCAACTGACTCATGATCTTAACCATTGATATTAAAGAACAATAACATATAATGTGTTAGTAATAATAATAATAACAATAATTTATTTGAAATCTACAAACAATAAAAGTGCTTGCTAGTTCATAAACTTAATTCATGACAAAATCCCCTAATGTAAACTAACCAATAAACTCAAAGGTTATTTAAATTTTGATGTATATATATACATGAACAATCAGTAGTAAATGTTTTTTTCTGAGTTCATATTAATAAAACTAATATTAACATTGAAAATGATAATAAGAATAATCATTCAATCATTTATTCATTTTATACTTTTCTACTATTTTATTATTTCAGTAAAATGTAAACATATTTGTAAATTACAATCAATGGAGAAAATTGTACGTTTTCAAATTATTTCTTTTAATTTTATATTTTACAATGATTAGACTCATGGAGGTTTTACACAAGGTATACAAACACGTCAAATAAATAATCAACGCTTAAATATCGTACCATTGTTTGCTTCGAATTTTAACAATAGTCCAAAATCTAAATTTTTAAAGGTGAAAAGAGATTAAATGTTTTGTTTATCTTATTAACTGATAATTGTGATGTATAGTTTTCTTTTATTTTTGTTTCAATACTTAACTTAGAGGTTAGTAAACATTTTGATTAAAGAGCTGAATAAATGCAATTGGTAAGTAAATATGTATTACATATTATGTATTAGTGGAATTCGCATCTATTTATGTAGTCCTCAGAGTTGACGTTAATTTATCAATGAAATGAATAAAACTGTGCTGTGTTTCACTAATCGGTTGGAATCAAGAGTCATTTTTACCGTGGTGTGTAATTCCATATTGGCTATACATTTTTATCAACAAGTTGAGATCAGAACTCTATCCCACAGAACTTCATTAAATGAAAATACTTGTTCAAAGATGCAAATTCACTCCGAAAATAAACATTTTAATTGTAAAATCTTCCGAGAAGTGAAACGATTAGGATTGCAATCAATGTAAAGTGCTTAAGCTTTTTACTTAGGTTGATTTCAGCCTGAAGATCTGTTAATCACAACTGAAAATTACGATCATTCGCCGTAATATCAAAGGAAATCGGAAGAGTAAACAAATTAAACGCTTTGAGATCTTTGAACTACCATAAAAATTAGTTCGTTAGAGTTGAAATTTAGCAAATATATTCCTCGATATAATATACTAAAGTGGAAAAAGTCTGAATTGTGATACTATAATTTATGGACGACTTTTCGTCAACATCAAAATGACCTTAGGACGTCCACCTACTTACAAGGGTTAAATGAGGGTTATATATTAGTGTGAGGAATTTAAATTCGGATGAACGGTTGAATGTTGGGGTTTAGAATTAGATTTCATGTTTTTATTACAAACTGGCATCAGCTATAATACTAAAATGGTATTTAGCCAAGTGGATGAAAGAACTGAGCGCCAAAATCCAAGATCTGCTATCTTAAATTTAATTGGTTCGCCCATAAATTATAATCTCGCCAATCTGAATAAATAAAAAAGAAATACTTACGTTTATTTATTATAACGAAATCTCCATATTCTTTATTTTAGAATGAGATAGTTGATAAAGCATTATACTTCTGGCAAAATGCTCTCAGTGTTAAACGGCCATCGAACAGAAACCTACTAATCAGAAGGTAAGATGATAGAGATAGCATAATAATTTAGTATTTAATTAATATCATGTAAAAAATTGTTTACTATGAATACTGTTTTATTTATTTTCATTGGAAGATCTTATAAAAAATCACATATATTTTATTTATTCTCAAATGATTTTGTTTTGAACACGCCGTGATGCAGTTTTGTAGCACACTTACAAGATGTGTAGCCAATATACATTGGTTTGAATGTTAACAGTGCTGTCCAAACAAGAATTTCAACTATATACTTGAAAACTGATTTTTTTAAATTTCAGCTAATGTTACTGAATAAGATAAGTTTTGTGATCCTTATCTATTTATTAAAGCAGACTAAATAGAAGTTCATTCACTCATTCAGTTCTTGAATCAACCAAATGTTTTTTTATTGGTGCAATCCTGTCTACTAATCCTTTGAAAACTATTATTTCCACCTCAATTTATTTTGACTAACCAGTGAGAAGTTATAGGAATAAACCAATATAGGCCACAAAATATAGAGAAAATCAATAAAACACGAGGGGAATTTCTGAAATTCTTAGAAATTACAACTTTATCTATGACAACGTTTAATCTTTGTTAATTAATACATGGTTCTTTCTGTTTTATACCAATTTACAATAAAAATAGAGATTGTATAGATGATAGACTTTGGTTCTTTCCCTCCAAAAATCGATCGCTTGACACAGTTTGCGAACATGCTTGTCATCCGTCAGCTAAATGTCATACAATGCAAGTACCTGATAACTTTTTACAAGTAAGTCTGTGAGTTTGTACGTAACAGTATATAAAACTATACACCTCTTTTCGTGAATTATATAAAAAAATAGAAATCAGACTTCAAATGTAATCAATAATAAGACCGAAGAATTCTACAAATCTCCATTTTGGTCTATGACATAGAAAAATGTAAACGAAGAATAAAGCAGTTTCTAACGATTCACAATCACTATCATCCTATCATTAGACATTTAGTAACAACATGAATGTTTCTTAAGATTAAGGAATAAAATTTTCGAGGAAAAGCCAGTGAAAACGTGAATCTAATGACTACTGTATTATAGTTAATTAAATCAAAATTTTAATGTTCATCTCATCATTAAAAAAACTGTATTAAGGATGTATACTACTCATAAAATAAAAAAGTATTTGGAAGTAGTTCTACTCATAAACAGAACCCTTTGTCAAACCACAGAACTTTTTGGAAAATATTTAATACGAGTTTGTGACTTACAAATAATATGAAATTTTAATCCAACAAGGGATGAAAATAAGTATCTTCTAGCCATTCAATGAGTACAATGTCCTTCAAACTCTGAGGTTTTCACCTTAACCTTAGGTTATTTCTGATACAATCAGATTCAAATGAGTTATAAACTAGGAAAATACAGTTATCCTGTACTTTCTAGTATTTTCCAATTATTATAAATTTGCAGTGAAAAATAATTCCAAATTTTACAAAGTATCCATTCAGTCATCTTAGCAAAAAATGTGACTGGTCTTAACTCTTTACTATACAGTAATTATTTACTTGATATGAAGTTATATGAAAAATTATGGTGAAACTAATCAGTTACATGAATTTATCATTTTCATTTGTTATAAACAATAATCACTTGTACTATTGTATGTTAATTAAATGTTCACTAAACAAAATATGATTGTAAGCAAAGATGGATAGTGGCTAGCAGTGGAATTCAGGACGCGCAATTCGTCCTTTTTGAGACTCTTCAGCTGGATGAGTTGTTGTTCACTCTTGGACTCGAACCCAGGACCACATATGCCAATAAAAGACTGACCAATCGCAATCTTAAACGTCAATCGGAATATTCAAGTAAAACAATACCAAGTGAAAATATATTTGTCTTTATCACTTTTCAAAAGCGAACAAAAAAGCAACCAAATTCAAGGAAATTATATTTTAGCATACATTTCAATTTCAAAATTAATGTCACTCATCAATGTATCAATGTGAACTTTTATATTATTTCTTCAGATCAAAGTGTAAGAGAAAATCAGTTGAATTAGAGTTAACAAAAACTACAAAAGGTTAATATATAGCAATTACTAATAGTCAACTACTTACAAAGAATATCAATTTATTTCAGATACCACTTATTTTGATTTGTGAAATGATTTCTTGTTTTCTATAATAACAGTCAATTTACTGTTTATTATTATTTTTCTAATGAAGGCATGTAGAACACGATATGGAACTACTGGATCTGATGGTTTCGGTATACCAGGCGATGGATATTTAATGATAGTTGACGCATCGCCAGGTGGTTTATGTAATGATAATTGGTTGTTAGCTTATGCAAACGCTTGTCAGTTGGAAGGAAATACTGATCGGTAAAAACACACACATATATATATATATATATCACCATTACATTTAATACTAGAAATACACTGTTTTCGTAAACCGGTATAAACTGAACTTGATACTGAATACAGTAATTGTGACTAAGGTAAAATAAATAGTATCGTTAAGGATCATGATCTGATTATTATAGCTTTGGTTTACAAAAGAATGTAGTTATATTTACGAATAATCTCCACATCAAATGATATATTGAGTCAAGCAAATACTGGAGATCTTGTAAAATATATAACGAGTTTATATTTACTCTGAATCATTTGAGATAAGTTGAATTACACAAGATTCATATAAATATTCCTGATCTCTTTGGTATAAATGAAGAAAATTCTCGAAACATTGAATTATAGCTTAACAACCTCTTTCAGTTTATGAGGGTTGGGTATTTTGATTTTCCAGGTTTGAGAGGTTTTTATAGTAATCAGCTATAGTTTGAATGTGAAGTGAATTAATTCTTGAAATATCAAGTTAACATATAAAGAACAGTTCGATCAGTCTTGATCAAGCATATATGTTCAGCTTTTCACATTCCGCAAAGCATAAAAATATATAAAAATGAGTTCGTTATAAGGTATTTCTTCTCTGGAATAGTTGTAAAGGATATTGATAAGACCGGAAGTATAGAGATTTAAACAGTCATTAGTAAAACAACTATTCTCTACACAGGTTTATCATTTTAATTCCTACCAAATGATCACATTTTCCCGAATAATAATAAATCATAATCATGAAGTCATATATATAATTGATTTTAGTCTTTCATAACTAATTACAATCTAGATTTTTTGGTCAATAATTTTATGGTAATATTCTAACAACAGGCCAATTCTTGGATTCATTAATTTCTGTCCAAATCGTTTGGATGAAAATTATCCAATGAGTAAAGTGTTACTGTATACAGCAATTCATGAAATGGGACATGCATTAGTAAGTTGTGTTGTGTCCACCTCTTTCTAATACACAAATTCGATAAACTTTCAATCAAAGTAGCCCTTATTCTAATGCACCACATTCCTATATATAAACATATATTGTAAATTGCTAGTTATAAACATGTGTTCTTTGCTTAAGCATAGTTTGGAGATAACTGCATAGCTAAATTTTTGCGGTTATTCACTTTCATCAGGAAGATTTATGTAGCCAAAACCTCTATGTTTTTCACTTATATACAGAATATCAATCTCTCTTAAATTAAACATTCTGCCATAGAATCTTGATAAAAGATGAGTTGCTATTAGACTTATTAGTTATCAACTGATCAGATGGAAATGTTAAGATTAACTATTATGAATGAGCAAAATTTATTGGTTTTTGAGTACGATTTTAAAAGCGAAGTTGATTAACATACCGTTGTTGAAATAAATAACTCGTTTAAACGTTTAACATCTATAAACTTTACTACAAGCTAATTGCTTGTAACTTATATTCTCTCTCTAACCTCGTGTTGACCATATTTACTCTAATCATTTGTCTCACAATTTCATTTCACTTATAAACTGATTTAAGTTAACACTTCATATCAGTCACCCAAACATTAATGATTTGATTTGATATGACAAACAATCCTTGATTCACATGTTACAATTTTAAATGATGCACCTTACCTTAAATCTGACCAATTTTATGGATTGTTAATTTGGACCCTGAACAGAAACTATTGAAAAGAAAATTCTTCGTTTATATAATAGTATTTTAATATAATGAGAATTTTCCAGCGATATATTCATTTATTCTTTAATTCAGTAGAGCCTTATTTTTTCTGTGATTGAAAAGAATTTTCCTTCTCAAGAATTTACACAGTTCAGCATTGTTATAATTACGTGTTAACTTGGTGATTGCAAATAAAATTTATCTTTTAACTAACAGTTTGTATATAAAATATAAAAATCATTTTTATTTAAAATGTATTCAGGGTTTGTTGATTTGTGTATTAACTATTCAGTACTCCTGAACTTCAGATACCAGTAGTAGGTTGAGCAGTTTCCCTTCAGTCATAGCTAATTTTGAAAACAAAATTTACTTCACTGTCAAGTTATTTAACTCAGTATTATAGTGTAACAATAAAAAAAATTGGTCATTTCAACGTTGATGCCTAGTTGGTATGACATTAATTATTATTAATTGTTAGAAGGATTTTTGTGGAGATTTTAGTAATTTCAATAGTTGAAATCATGAGTCGATTGAAGCTAGACCACCATGGAAAACCTGGAAGCACTGGACGGCCGTTTCGTCCTACTATGGGACTCCTCAGCGGTGCGTGTCCAGGCTCCGTGGTCTGATGGTTAAGTGCTCGCGCACAAGACTGATAGGTCCTGGGTTCGAATCTCGCGGGGGGCGGGATCGTGGATGCTCGCTGCTGAGGAGTCCTGTACTAGGACGGAACGCCCGTCCAGTGCTTCCAGGTTTTCCATGGTGGTCTAGCTTCAATTGACTCATGGTTTCTACTGTTGAAATTATTATTAAGTAATCAATGAAATTAGATAATTTACTTTTGTATCTCTGGATACTTTGCTGAATAAAGAATTTATTAAGCTCCTTTTTCTTACTGAAATTTCCAAACATGTCTTTGATAGAAAATACGATAATTTCATATACTTTGTGAATATGATTTATAGAAGCCTTGAATATATTTTCATAGGAATAATTCTGTGGTTTGTTACGGTAACCTACCAACCCTATCATTCTACATGAACGTTTAAGTGAAATTAATTACTTATTCTAAATTTAAAATCGTTTTGCATATACAGATGTTGTTGTCATCAGATCAACTCTTTACTACTATTATTCACTGTATAAATCTCACATTTATACAAATTTAATTGTTGTTGTGATGCGTTAATTTATTATTTCTATTATTATTACTATCTGCCGAAGCGTTTAAAAGTGAAAAGATTCCTATTCAAACAACTTCATTTCAGATTATTTACGAAGGTACTTAAAGTATCATTAAAAGATTTTTAGTCGGATTATTTGGAGTATATTCTCAATAAACACAATTACACAGACAAATTTATTTGCTTATTGTAAATTAATGAAGTTCATTGGGTTTTCACCAGTTTTTTTGAAGTTTCCTGATGTGTAAATTTCTAAAAGGAATCTTCTGGATGCGAGACTAGTTAACAAACCTTAAACTATATGGACAACAGACCAAAAATCCAACGTGAAACGTAGAATTATTTGATTTGGACTCGTAAGTGATATTTTTCCTAATAGATTCAAGTTTTCTCGGTTTGATTCCAGATAATTTCAAAGGTGCTTCAAATGAAATGAAACAACTGCGTAAAATATTCAATAGTAATGAAATTATTTTTTTATTACTAATTTCCAAATATTTATTCTTTTTAACGTCCCACTTTCGCAACTAACCGAATGTATAAAATGAATGAGATAAACGATCCAACATTCCTTTCATATTTAGGGGTTTAACAGAAATCTTTACGCTTTTTATCGTGACGAGCATGGCAGACCACGAACGCAACGTGATCCTGTTACAGGAATGCCAAGTACTCCGAGGGATGAGTTTGGAGTATTTGCTCCTAGGTAAGTCATTGACGATAATTAGTGATTCCAATTAGTAAATTTCAACTCTTAAAAAACATTTTAAAAAAATCCTTAGATTAACTTGTGTCAACTAAGTTATCGATTTTTCAATGTCTTGATAAAGTCTGTTCCATAAATGACAGAACTGACTTTACTAAACATTAAAAAAAGATTATATTTCGGGGCATCAATACAGAAAGTCATTCATTTAAACTAACAATCAGTTTTTGATATTCATGAATAAATCTCGATGGATTGCACATTCTGTTAAAAAGTAATATATGGTTTTAAAATCGATTAGTTTCCCAACTAGTAATTTGGTTCAACTTTCAATCAGCATCAGTTACATACACATGCAGTGAAACAAATAAAACAATACGTTAGTAATATATATATATATATATATTTAGTGAGCAGCGTCTTAGAAGATACTTTACTGCAATTCTTAAGGCGCCTTTAGCTATGAACTATTGGAAAACTATGGTAGTAAAGAAAAAGTGTTTTTCAATCTGAGTTGGATTGTTTTGTCAAATTTTTAGATATTTTGAATTGCTAGCTGATCCTGAAAGGGAGAACAAAACGTTATTCTTATTCTTGTTTATAACTCCATCAGTGAGCTGTTAGGGATTGAATTTCTGATTAATCTTTTGACCCTGAATATGAACATTACAATAACTCGAGCCCTTGTTAATACCGATGAAGCCATCATGTTGCTTAAAGAAATTAGTCGATATAGGGACTTATTAGCTCAATGGTGACGCGTTGGACGTCTGAAGTGAAAGATACTGGATTAAGGTCCCAACGGGAGCATCGACACCAGGATGCAGGTACATCCAGTTGACAAGTCTCGGAAAAGATAAAACAGGAGTCCTGAATTCCACTTCTAACCACAATTCATCTATTTTATGGATTTGGCAATACGATTGCTATATTGAGGTAAATAATACAGCATGTACATACACCAACAAAGGTCGTAGAAAAATTCTGTCCTCAAGTACCATAACTTTAATAATAATGGTTCTTGTCACAATTTATACTGAAATTTCTTTGAATAGCCTAAAATTAAAAGAACCAATTCTTTAAGTCACATATCACTTAATTATTTATAACAATAGGGAGCCAACATCTTGTAAATATTATTTTCTTTAACTCAGTAACGATGTCGTTAAGGAAGTCACTCGCACTTGGAAATCCACAAAGGTTTCTTTGACACGGAAAATAGGAGCCTTTGTTCTTCCAAACGTTTTGGTATGTTATTTTCCCTCAATTTTTGTCGCCTTTTCTCAGTATTTATTGGTAATCATATATATAAAAATGACATTCTGATGTCAAATGACTATTAGATATTATCATTATGGGGATTCGCGGAGTTTTTAGTATTTTCACAGTCAAATTCATAAGTTGGTCTAAGCTAGATCACTGCTGAAAACCTGGAAGCACTGGACGTCAGTTTCGTTCTAGTATGGGACTCTTCAGAAGTTCACATCCACGACCCCTCACTCGGGATATTAATTAAAACTATGAAAATATATACGGACAAATACTAACCTGTATTAAAGTTTGTCATTTTGCAGTAGTACAGTTTTATCACGTTACATGAAATAAAACCTAAGAGCTACAGGTCGTATGGAGGATATGAGATCACTAAACGACAAAATTGAACTTATAACACTAGTTAAGCAGTTTAAAGGTCATGATTTTGATCTCGTATGCAGTCATGAGTTCGTAGAGATGAAATTCCGAGATAGTTGTTCGATGTTCACTGATGCTTTAGCTAGTGTCATTCTATGATGAAAACAGTCATTTAAATAAACTCAGGATGTTGGTTAGTCCACACGAAACAACAATGAATCCCCAGAAACACCTTGTGTAGTCAATAGCTGATTTTAATATTTACTCTTGATAATGAAGCCATTCCAATTCGAATAAGATACACATATGTCAGTATCAGAATTGTGCAGATTACTGAATTTTACTGAGATCACGAGTCCATCAAAGCTGGGTAACAAATGAAAACCTGGAAGCACTGGAAGGACGTCCACTAGAGCGGAATTTTGGGGTTTTGCTGACAAGCCATGGTCAGTAGAGTTTAACCGTGTGGAATGTGAGGAGGGTACTCACCAAAAGCAACAGTAGATGGTCACGTGATATAATAGATTGGTCGAAATTATACTTTCAATCCACTGGTCTAGCGTTCAAGCCATTGTGTGCTGGACAGAAAGTCATAGGTTCGACCTCCAGTGATGGGATCGTTAATGAGCACTGTTGAGGAGGTCCATATTGGGAAGATATAGTCATCCAGTGCTTACACATTTTAAATTGTTTTCTGCCTTAGATCGGTTTATGACCTCATCGAAACATACTTCGTTTTGCTTTAGAAATTTGCCAGAAGTCATTTCAACTGCCCTAGTTTAGACGGTGTGGATCTTGAAAATGAAGGCAGTAGTGCCACACATTTAACACATTTTGAGAAAAGAGTTGTGCATGTAAGTAGAAAAACACGAGGTTTTCGCCTTTCATTTATTCATGTTGAGTAAACTGATAGTTTTATTTAATCAAGTATTAGATTGTTGTAACGTGAGATGTTGCAGATTTGAGGTTAGCGAATTATCGATCGATTCAAAGACGCGTAAGACACGTAAGAACGACCTTGGGCTCTGATTGGTCCGCTTCCCTGTCTAGCCCAGCCAGTTGAGTCCAGAACGCAAGTCTTAGCCTCAGCGATATGAATCATTATATTTCAGACATACTCTGTTTATATACCAATCAAACAGACCACATCGTACCATAAAATAGAAAACAACATATGACAAGTGAAATAAATATTTACTAATAGGAAATGTCCATTTAAAATCCAAGGACACCATTAGACTTAACAGGATAATTGTTGGGATATTTTTCTGAATATCCTAACATAGATAATCAGTACTCTAATGAAGCATGTTTGGTCAAGTGATCTCATATAAATGCTTGGAAATCATGGTCCTTCCTGGAATTCATGAATATAATATGAATCCGTTGTAAATCTTATTGAATACTATGACAAATACCTAATGTACAGGGAGTTTTACTGTTTTTTAGCAATAAACGACTTGACTTTAACGTAAATAAGTGTAATCGATGGTATGACAATATTGAATGATTTGTTTCTTACTAAAATCCACATGAATGAATATATGACATTAATAGACAGATATTAATAAATTTTAGTGTCATATGTCTCAGGTTGAAATTATAAGCATAAATATTATACCATACTTTACAATAATCCTTGAGGCTGATTAGTGGTCGTTTAGTTTTCTCCCTAAATTTTGTTAGAATAAAAAATGCTTAAGTCTGAGTTAACTGTAACAAGTTTGCTTAGTCAAATACTGTTCAAGTTTTTCTTTATCTAGACGATCAGGAAGAGTGTTGTAGCGATCAAAGCAAAATGACGTAAACTATTTGATTGGAGGTTCAGATTCGACTTAACTTATTTTGCCTTAAACAGACAGGTGGTACCAATAGTCCTAATACACTGAAAGTGTGACTGAAAGCCGAAAACATGAATCTGCTGTATTAAAATTGTTTATGGAAAATAAGTTAAATTTTATCAGATATTGTTAAATTCGTGAATTCATAACCTTCAAGAAACGGCCTCTGAATCCTTACCGATGTCATAATTTTAACGTTCTTTAGTTTTTATAAAGGATTATAATAAACAAACAACATGAAAATGACTGTATTTGTAGATAACTGTTTAAATGAACTGTGACAAAGCATAAAATGAAATTTTATGTACGTTAATATTAATTTAAAATATATGTTTATGAATTCGCTATAAGTGAGTTCATACTAATTCATTGAATCCATACTTTATTTATTGTGGTAACCATCACTAACCATTTAGGATATTATATATTTGATAAAAACTTAGTCTGCAGTCATAACATCCACTAGAAAATAATGAAATTAATTATTGTTTGCACAAGCCCTTACGAAACTCCTTTGTTATTGTAAACATGTACTTAATAAAAAAAACATTTTGTACCATAAAGTGCTCCTATTCCATGTATATCAAGAATATAGAAATGACATAACTGGATAGATTTGCTGCAGTTTTAAAAAAGATCTAATTTGGGTCAATTAAATTTGTGTACATAAAGTATTAATGTGTTATTTTCTTCAGGATGAACTTATGTCAGGAAGTGTTGAACTACCGTCAATTGTTTCAGGGTTAACATTATCAGTTTTCCAAGATTCTGGGTAAGTAAATAATTTCTAGGTAATGTAAATTTAACCACTTGTTTGATCATAGTTTTTTTTTCAATTTCATTATATTTTCATTAATATTCAAAATACAGTTGCATAAATTTGGTATAGTTTAAATAAAGAAAAATAATCAATCGTTTTGTATTTCTTTGTATTGTTCATTCATTTAAAACATTTTTGTTCATGACAATTTAGCAAAGTCTTCCTGACATACTTTAATACAATGAATATAAAGACAGTCAGTTAGCAAACGTAATTTTGACAGTTATCGAGATGATAATATTCTGTGACAAATAAGTATTTTTAAACTGAACTGAAATTTTCACACATCACTTATCTAAATTAAAAAAAACACATTGTGATTAATTATGATTGGAAACTATCGAAGTTACAGTAAGAGACTGTGTCCAATTGAATCTAATCATAATCAGGGTGAAATAGAGATCACAGATAAAGGTGAGTGATTGTCATGAATCACTACGAGTTAAGTGAAGATAAAAATGTGGATTATACAATTTCTACTTAGTAATCTATTGGGTTTATACTTAACTTGAAACCCGAAGGTTTTAAATTTAATCAAACACAAATAACGTATAAATCTAGGAAAAGTAATAGTTTAATCTTTATTGGTCCTTTAGTTAATAACTGTCTATGACAGAAGCTGTCGTTAAACTAAGCAAAATAATCTGGAAGTAGAGGTCGATGTGAAAGTATGCTTCAGTTTCCTAATCGTTAAATTCGTTAATTCTAAGATAGAATTATCATTACAAACCATCGAGTATAAAGAACCAGATGTTTGGTGTAAACATTTCAGAGTTACACAAAATTTATAGGATTTTCTTAGCGACAGTAAATCAAAAAATTAACCAGAGTGCTCTCCTACAATGTTTAGTGTTTACACTTCCATTATATGACTCTACATGAAGTATTTACAACTAATTTGACATGAGTAGCCTGGGATTTATTATCCGTAACCATGTATTTATTTATCACTGACTGATATTTACAGTATTCGAGTTTCAGTCTTTCATATGACAAGACATAATGATGAGGTATTTTATATGTTATAAAGTCCAGAGAAAATCATAGTCAGCGATCAAGTATCTGAGTTCAGGATGATACTATTTAACACTTGAAGATGAATTTAAGCTATTTAGGTTACCTTACGTTTTAATGGATTAACCTTAATTTTTCAGATTCAACTAGGAAATTATAGTGTTCTAAGTCGTTTGTGAACTACTTATATGCTTCATAAGTTATAAAGTAAGGTTAAGGGACATGTAGATTTTATTTCTTACGTACTACATATCTAAGTGTGTAGTTAACGAGAACACAAGTCGGGGACAAAGAAGTCTATTCCAATGCAACACTACAGAATATCTTAGTAAAATCTGAGAACCATACAGTAAATACTTCATTTGCAAAATGTTAATCAGTCGTTTCGAACTTGATTGTTCCTTCGTTTCCATACCAATCACTCTCTACTCTCGTTCTTTTCTCTTCAATTTTCTTAATCTTCCGCCATCAGGCATCTTACTTTCTATTGGCGATACATAGTATATATATATCTGTTGATATCAGTAGCACACATCACAAATGAACTCTATTTATTTATTATTTTTGACAGTATTACATTTCTGTTTTATAATTTCTTATACCAGGTGGTATGACGTCAATCATAAGATGGCCGGAAACTGGAAATGGGGGAAAAATTTAGGATGTGAATTTATTACAAAAAGTTGTTCTGAATATATGGCCATAAGAAGATCCCGGTAATTAGTGTGTCAAAAAATGATATTTTTTTACACTTTGTATTTTTATGGTCAATGGAAAGTATGAATTAACAATTTTTAATTAAGAATGGAAATGCCCTTCACGAAGGGTAAAAGGCGTAAGGTAAGTAAGATTCAGTATTAATTAGAAAATCAGACTTTAAGCTCTGACAATAATCCCAGGTTGCCTCTTATACAACCATTTAAGTATTATAAGCCAAACGTAGTCAGTGGTATTATCGATAAAATAAAAACTAAATTATTGTTTTAACTGATATATATATCTTGCTTTTGTATTACACAAACCAGTAATGAGTAAAAATTTTGAGGAAACTTAATTTACGCAACAGCTTAATCTGAATTTTAAATTGTTTACATATGTTAGCTAAATGTTCATTTAATCTAATGCGATTACTTTAAAGTTAGTTCAATTAAGTATTTACACTCTGTTTTTATGAAATATCTTATCAAATATATTTATAATCAGTTTATTAGGATTGAAAATCTTTTATTATGATTTAAATACAAATAAATTATAAGTCATTTGAAGCTAGACCACCATGGAAAACCTGGAAGCACTGGACGGCCATTTCGTCCTAGTATGGGACTCCTCAGCAGTGCGTATCAACGATCCCGCACCCTGCGAGATTCGATTACTTCGGTTGATTATCCACTATATTAGCTCTATATATTCATTAATTCTCATTGGATAATTAGATTGTCTTTACCAAAAATTTATACTGAACAATTTTAGTTCATTTATTTGTTTTCTACAGAAAAGAACCAACTGGTCCATGGTGTGATTACTTTGATCTGACACGTGCTCAGTGTATATCATATAACAATGCATATAATTACTGTAACATGAATCTGTATCAGCAGCGTATTGAACCAGACAAACAACATGTAACAAATCATCAAGAGCGTGAATTTTTGGCAGGTGATAGTAAATTACATGATGGGTGTGCATTGTTCCAGGTAATAAACTACCATCTTTACTGTACACATATAATACTGTTGAAGATCCAAAGAAAATTTAATTCTTACTAACTAGTGATATTAGTGACTAACGTATTATATATATATATATATATATATATATATAGAACATAACAAATATATTGGTAATTTGCTCAACCTACAGTAAGCTTTAGTTCACCTTATAATATCAAGTTAAGGACTGAATTGACAGTTTGCATTAAAAAAACAGAGTTGCTTCATTCTATTTTGAAGAAATTTCCTTGGCCTTTAACTACAGATTATTTAATAATGCCAAAATTCAATTACTATTATCTTGGTTACTTTTATTAAAAATTTTGATTGCGCACTTTGTAGTCCAACGTGAGAGTGATGGTATTTAACCGTAGTTCTCTTTTGAAAGTAACATTGTTAATTACTGTGAAATGTTGGAATAAATGATTTGTGAGGTAAACACTGAAGGGATTGTCAGTAGTTAATAATCACAGATATAGGTCAGAGACGCTTATGAATCAATCTGTATGCACAGTTAGTAAAGTTGACCTGGGGTGAGCGAAGTTTACTACTACGAGCCTAAATAACTGTCATTGAATTAAATAACATTGATAATTCAAGCCTATGGGATTTTTTCTTACACCACTCAGTCATACGTGTTGTAAGATTCTGAGACATTTATATTTGTATCTTTAAAAAATTTATTTACAGTGCGTTTTAATGTCCTTTTCTCTCCTTTTAGCCGGTACCAAACATTAATGGAACAGGTCAAACATCAGTTTGCACACATGAAGAAAATAATCAGCGTTTAGGTAAGTTATAAACAAGTTATAAATAAGTTATAAAACAAGTGAAACTCAACTAACTGTTGCCAAATCAGTCAACAATATTAATAAAATATCTAGACAAATAGCTCTATTTCTTCTTTAGTTTTAACCATTGTTTAATCTAAAAATCACCCTGAAGTTTAATGAACCTGTAATATGTCAAATCATGAAATAGATTATTGTGACTACCTATACTATTCTATTATCACATAACTTTATTAAGTAAGTTGGTTTCGTTTCTTAAAAAAATACTTGTCTTACTGACTTTTATGGAATTTATTACTGTTAATTCTATCGAAGCGTCCAAATAACCCCGATTGAGATACGCGCAAAATCGAAGTTCCAAAACAACGATTTGTCTACAAAAGCGGTTCTTTATTAAATAATACACAAAATTTAGTTACAAACCTCAACTTGTGAGGTGTCTAGGCGTTTAAACGCGTCGTTCAAAAATGAAAATAGCAAAAGCTTCCTGTAAGAGTAACATAAAGAATGATTACAACATACGATAGTCCAAAGACAGCCGATAGCTGTGTCTAAATTTGGTAACAGTTTATGAACAACCGAAACTCGAACCAAGAGCAAACAATATGGAAACTGTTGCATTCAAACAAATGCATAAAACTGTGGATAACCTTTACAGTAATTAAATTACAGTGATTATAATGATAAATACAATTATAAGTAAAATAAACATTAAAGATATATGTGAACATTCCAGAATGTTACAGTACAACTTGAGTTACAACATAAGTGTGAAAATTGTTGGGTATACAGCTGCCTACTGAATGTAAATAAGTAGTATAAAACAACATACAAAAGAGTAGAAAAGGAACATATAGGAACAATGTAAAACAAACTTAACAATTACTATAAAGTCCTTCTAAATATTATTACATGAAGGTTCAATTGATTATTTTTGACATATATTGTACAATGAGATTACAATTGGTCATTATCTAAACAAATTTTCACGATTAAGTCGACTTAACTTGAATTGCAGACTATCGTTTGACGTTTTAAATAGATAGGTATTAAAGTATCTTTACCTCAGTCTTTGATGAAACTGAATTAAATTAGTCTGGTGGTACAAAATTTACTGTTACAACGTTCACCAAACTGAATTCATGTTTAGAGAACAAGTGTAACTTAGAGCAACTTGTTTATCAAACTATTAAAAACGGTGAAAAAATTGTCATTATCTTTTAATATGTCCGTAAACCTGGTCAAAATCAACGCATAACAAGACTCGTTAGCTGTTAGATTCATTCAGCGGAACTATGAGAATAGCCACTGTGTAGATGACTTTATATATATGTGAAGAGTTTTAGGCCCGTCCTCAGGACATTTTACTACTTCGCCGTCTGTCAAAGTATAATAAATAAAGTTGACATAATAATAAATGTCCAAAAATTGGTTGTTAGTGTTGAGTGGGGTTTAACTTAGGGCCAACAGAAGTTTCACATTTCTTTCGTGATATGCCTATAGATTATTTTCCTGGATTCATCTCTGTATGAAGTTCTAATTACAGGGTATGTAAGGATTCGCGAGTTCACAAAAACTAACATATCACCAATAGGACCTTCAGGTTTCCAACTAGAAGTATACCATGATGTGAAATTTACAATATCTTGTAAATGTTCGAACATACTGTAGATCAGATTTTATGAGATCGAAAACTCTATTTAAGTAGACGATACTTTCTACTCAACTTCGTTTTAAGCATTTTAACTGTATATATTTTCATGACTTGATTGTGGAGTCAACTACTCTAAAATGTTTTTATTTAAAGTATTTGAAGCATATTAATTATACACTAAGTTCGTAACGTCAGTTTAGAGAACATAAATTCCTCAGTTTTCCTGAAAAAAAAATCGTATTAAGTGTTAGGTACCTTAGAGTAATCAGTCTATATACTCGCCGACGGTCCATTCAGTTCTTACAAATAGTACTGGTTTTCAATTTATAGGTGTGAACCCTTTAATGCAACAGTTTGGACCGAGTTCTTTGTGTGTTAATCATGGAAATAATAAAAGATGGGTACTAAACACAAACAGAGGTATTCAGAGTACCGGTGATATGGGAGCATCATGCCACGTGGTAAGTATTTACTAGACTTTTGTTTAACACTACTCCATAGTAAGTTTCCACAGTGTCATAGAGGTAAATTGTTATTAGTAATGTTTAGTCATGCGTACTGAAGCCTATGCTCCATTGGTTGCTGTGGTTAGCTGTGATTATTGGAATTCTGCATGTATCACTACTTCCGACCAAATCCAAACTAATTCTTTTGCTACAGTGCCTATCTGTCTAAATTTCAGTTAAATTTTGAGTGAATTCCATAAAACCTTTTTACGGTAATCAAGTATTTAACCAGAAATATTCATATTGTTCCAGTCTATTTTTAGCTAGAAATCCTAAACTGTTTCGATCTTTCATATAACTTTCAAGAATATATTATGTAGAATATTTGCACGTATATACTGTGGAATCAATTGTTTAGTCACCATTACCACTTTGATTGATCCATCTGACGTATAACATAAGCATTGAAAGTTGTACATAAAATAACTCCGAAAAATAAATTTTGATTCAACAGACATGAGTTTGATTACTATCATCTATTATCGACAAAAGTGTCTGAAGCCTATTGATTTCAAAACTTTACTAGATAATGGAAATAAATGCATCTTAATGAAAGATGTGTTTTTCACTCACTCACTCACTCACTCACTCACTCACTCACTCACTCACTCACTCACTCACTCACTCACTCACTCACTCACTCACTCACTCACTCACTCACTCACTCACTCACTCACTCACTCACTCACTCACTCACTCACTCACTCACTCACTCACTCACTCACTCACTCACTCACTCACTCACTCACTCACTCACTCACTCACTCACTCACTCACTCACTCACTCACTCACTCACTCACTCACTCACTCACTCACTCACTCACTCACTCACTCACTCACTCACTCACTCACTCACTCACTCACTCACTCACTCACTCACTCACTCACTCACTCACTCACTCACTCACTCACTCACTCACTCACTCACTCACTCACTCACTCACTCACTCACTCACTCACTCACTCACTCACTCACTCACTCACTCACTCACTCACTCACTCACTCACTCACTCACTCACTCACTCACTCACTCACTCACTCACTCACTCACTCACTCACTCACTCACTCACTCACTCACTCACTCACTCACTCACTCACTCACTCACTCACTCACTCACTCACTCACTCACTCACTCACTCACTCACTCACTCACTCACTCACTCACTCACTCACTCACTCACTCACTCACTCACTCACTCACTCACTCACTCACTCACTCACTCACTCACTCACTCACTCACTCACTCACTCACTCACTCACTCACTCACTCACTCACTCACTCACTCACTCACTCACTCACTCACTCACTCACTCACTCACTCACTCACTCACTCACTCACTCACTCACTCACTCACTCACTCACTCACTCACTCACTCACTCACTCACTCACTCACTCACTCACTCACTCACTCACTCACTCACTCACTCACTCACTCACTCACTCACTCACTCACTCACTCACTCACTCACTCACTCACTCACTCACTCACTCACTCACTCACTCACTCACTCACTCACTCACCCACTCACTCACTCACTCACTCACTCACAAACCATCTTCACCTTAGCATTTCTCACTAGCTTTCTGATTATTACGTAACTACCACTCAATAACTGATTTATGTAAACTATTTATGGCATGATATCACCTTAGTTCTTTAAAATTATATAATATTCTTCTAGTTTACCACTGTTTTCAGTAAATAAACTAAATGTAAATACGATTGCAGAGCTGAAGTAAGTAAAATAATAGAAAGGAAATAAAAACGGAGATTAGTGAACCAATCTTCCTTCTTGCTCTCTTTAAGATGGTAAAGGGAACTATGTGTAGGAAAAAGATATTTACTTATTAGAATGCCTTTATTTCTCTTCTGTGACACAACAGACTTCTTTAACTCGATGTTTTTTTGTCGGTTTAATCAGGTTTGTTCTTATTATCTTCTTAAGTGTCATATCACGACTACATTTTGTCACAGAGAATGAAATTATCCTTAATGTGAATAGTAGTTAGCAGGTTTTAAATAAAAAGTTTCGAGATGATAAAGTCAAAAATTTATTGCACCTCATTATGTACATCGAAACATACCACCTCGTAATTTTACAAGGTAGGCACTAATTCAAATACATCGAAAAATTGAATGCATATATTTTCGGAGTTATCACTATAAATATGGTGATACCAATATTCTTTCATGAAGTGGAGGGAATAAACTTTGTATCAAGTGTATATGTTGAATAATAAGTGGGTGTTCGTTTTCTAGGCAATCATTGAGATTTTAATATTTACACTTCCTTTAAATGTTTTACTACTAAACTACAGTACCGATGTGGTAATGGATTAGCGATTATGATAGGACCGAATACTATTTCGTGTCCAAAACAGGGAGGAACAGTGGCTTTAAACGTACAAGGCAATTTAGGATTGATCAAAGGTTTTGTCCAGTGTCCACCATGTAATGAAGTGTGCAGAGTGAGTCGAATTATGTTTTAGTGTTCTTTATTTATTGCTATTCACTTGGAATGAAAGTTAGAATTTATAAGCGTTTGCATATTTTTCATGCAATGATATTACATTTAACCACTTCTGGTTGTTAATTTTGCAATATTTCACTAACTAACGATTTACTGATTGGGTCAAACACCTAAATTGATAAGGTATTATTTCACTCCATTATGTTATTTTACATGACCGTCTTATCTATAGGATCTAACTTAAGATTTTTTAGTTTAAAGATAAACAGTAAAGCCTTAGATCATGAAGTCGAACCTCAGTAGTACTTATTACCTAGTCTCATTCCCAAAATGGTTAGAGATTATCGATCACAGCTTTGCCATATAATTTTAGGAATAAATCTCAAACCTGATCAACAGCGAAAACTTGCTTATAATTATCATTACTATTATTTAGATAGTAGGGTTTATTTCATAAATAAAAGTTATTTATTCTTTGTTTATTTTACTCTCTTACTAATCCGTATTATTGCCAATTTGCATAACTACTTGATAAGTAATAATCTGTATTCACTTATTATTGTGTTTTCTTTTACTACAGCGATGTTAGATTACAGAATAATTTGGATTAAATAAAAGAAATATATTGATACGATTAATAAAACAAATACATCTTATTCAATTTCATTATGTTAAATATAAAACTTTTTGTGTTCTACCTAGTGAAAAATCGTTTATAATAAACAAATGAAATACATATAAGTAATCTCTTTTGTTTTATTTTCATTCTGGAAAATTAAAAAGACGATTCTTAAAATTGTCAGTGGGTGTAAAACATAGACGTCATATATAGATGATCATTTAAGTAGTTTGCATTGTGTATGTGTGTGTGTGAAGTAAATAAACAGTAACTCATGTCACAATATGCAAACCATATTATCTTATAAGCAAAGATGGATAGTGGCTAGCAGTGGAATCCATGATGTGCGTCTCGACCTATTTGGGACGCGTCAGCTGGATTTACCTGTATCTCCGAGTTGATGTCCACTCTGGGACTCGAACCCAGTACCACCCACTTCAAACGCCATCGCGTTATCCACTTAGCTCCTGAATCCTGATAGCCACTTGCTTGTGCAATGGGGTGAAGTTTAATTCACTTGGTATTGTTTTACTTGAATCTAACCATTGATGTTTAGGACTGCAATCGATCAGTGAACATCAACTCTGAGATGCAGGTGCATCCAGCTGACGAGCCTCAAATAATATGAAACACACGTCCTGAGTTCCACTGCTAGCTCCTATCCATCTTTGCTCATAATGCTTGTAAATTAAGGCAGTATCGAGGCAATACGCACAGTATGCACATATGCCAATAAGAGATTGATTAATTGCAGTCCTAAACATCAATGGGTAGATCCAAGTAAAGCAATAACAAGTGCATATTATCTTACGGTAAAGTAATATTCATATGACATCTAATCGGTTAGACGTTAGTGGCATTTACTATACTTACACATTATTCACATATCAGACCGTCAATACTATGTCTAAGATCTTTCGAATAACATTTATATATAACTGATTTTGTGAGTTTTTAGTTGTTATTATCATCAGTTATTTTGTTTGGATTGGTTTTTGATCCTCTTGAGTTCACAGTCTGTTTACACAATTAATGATGACAGACTAATCTTTTATTTATTTTTCAATTGTAAAATTTGATGACATTAAAAATTGTTCATAGAATTTTGAATACAAATTAATTTATCTTTTTTTGATGTCCACAAACGTAACGTCTGCAAAACACAGTCAAATTTTCTCACTGATCACTGGCAAAATAACCGTTCCCAACAACTGCATGAATGTTTCTCCTAATAATTTGGATATCAGAAATTGCACTGACCTACCTTTTATCTTAAACTTCTTTTGTGAGAGGAAAACATTTTGTGCTGGTAAGCTTTTTCATTTTCTGACATCAGATCTGTGTTTTTTGAAAGATCTATCATTGATGAGAAGATAAGTGAATTACATTTCTCAGATTTGATTCAAGTGTTCAGTAATGTGGTAGAATTAAAGGACATATTCGATTTGTTGCTTTTAATCTAGGTGTCCTTAACATTACTCAGTATTTGTATCAGAAACTTGATAGCATAACTATATGATTTTACTCTATTGCTCAGTTTTCTTGAAGAGACATTTGAATTGACAATGTACAAGTTTACGATGGTAGAGGCGTGGGTATTTACAACTAAATAGAGTATTTTAGGTCTTAAATAACCTACCCTTCTATTTGGTTTGTCACTGATTTGTTAGTGTATAAGAAGGCCAGAGATCTGGGGACATTTGATTGAGGTTCTGAGCTTATTGATCCAAGAACTATTAATACAATGGTAGGTAAAAGATAAAAATTGATACGAAATGTGAAAGTTTGTTTATGATAAGTACCAACTGTGATCCAACACTTACTAAAATAATAAATTCGATTGACAAAAGGTTAACGGAAAAATATGATCATGAACATAAGATTGAGGAGATTTTTGAGTGTTGTTGAAATCACGAGCCGATGAAGGTTAGACAACTATTGAAAACTTGAAAAAACTAGTTGACCGTTTCGTTCGATTATGGGACAACTCAGCAATACGCCTTCATGACTCTGAAGCCGGGAATCGAATTCAGGACTCTTGTGCGTGTAAACCTAACCTGTAGACCACTGCCAGGAGAATCAGTGGTTTTATGGTTTGACTTTAATCAAACCACGATAGTGAGCGGCTACCTATTGTCTTTGATGAGGATCTTTCTCAAGCACTGTTCATATTAGGACAAGACGGCCGTCCAGTGCTTCCAGGTCTTCGGTCATTGTCTAAATTAGGCCGGTTTGTGATTTCAAATAAAAAAATTGAAGGCATATTTTAATGTTTGAAGAATGTCACTATCCAGATCCGGCATATAATACACAGAAGACGTCCACTAGTACAGGTAAAAGCAGAAATACGTCATCACCAGCAATTAAAACATATATTTTATAGCTTCAATGATACACTAAGTTTGACAAAACACTTTCATTTCAATATAACTACTTTGTCGTTTTGTTCATTAATAGCTTACAGAGTTCTATAAAAATCCTATGTAGTAAAAAAATGGTAAATCAAACGGTAATTTTAGTTATGTTAGATTGGCTTAACGATAGATAGTCTAGGCGAAAAAAAGATTATTAGTAACATTAGGAAACATTCTGAACACAATCGACCTATGGGCAATAGACATGAAGTTAGCCGGTGAAAATTGATTTGAAGCTTGGGTTTGGATGAAGTTTATTGACTCAGATCACTAGTCGACTACCATACAATTCCGTTTCGATGTTATGAAGGCTTTTATCTGGTAGTAGTGACCTCACAGCAATGAAATGACCAGAAGGTAACAGAGACTAAGAATAACAGCTAACGAGTACTCCCAGTATCGTTTATGATATAGATTTTTTGTTATTTGAAGGATTAAGCAGCTCTTCAGCCGATGAATCATCCTATAAATAGGTGGTGCTGTTGAGCTAGAATCCCGGTTCTCAACAGAACTTGAACCTTCCCACTTGCTTGAGAAAATATGAGTATTTCGGTGGTCGTAATCGATGAACTCGACAATTAACACATTTAAACAACAGACGCAGCTGCTGCAAATAAACAACCACGATGTAAGAAGCCAAAGAAACGGCAGTTAGGGCAAGCTTTGGATGATTGTTGTTCAAAAATGTGAACTGTATCACGATACAAACGAACAAGAACTGTTTTGATCGATTAACAGTACTGATACGATCTTTCCAAAAAGCGTTGCAACTTTCTTACTTGATGTCGAACGGGGATTCGAAATGCTTAACAATACAAGTGAACTACTTCTGGCAGTAGGCACACACTATTTTTACAGGCGTCGTCGATAATGCACAAATGTTAACAGTAAGGTTAATGCTCCAGTCGGGTCATTTAGAAAGATTATGTCACCACTTCGAAAAACTTTGGAGATAGAAAGTTCATTGAGGTTTATTAGCTGCTCATTAGATAGATTTAGGCAACAAAGCTGTTTAGTAAGTTTGTCGTCACCATAAAGTGACAAAAATATGGTGCCTATTTGAGCTGTGACATTGCCGAACGAGTATGTTAGGTATATTGTTCAGATTTAGGTGGAAATTTCATACCTGAGTGTAGCGAACGTAGTGCTGGAAAAGGAAAGCGATAAAATTCAAACGGAAGGAAAAATAACAATATTTGGACGACAAGACCTAGTTTTTAGCAATGATGCATATTAAGGCATGCTTAATTGATAGATTAAGCTCAAATTAAATGCTTTCTCTAGGATGGATTACAGTTAAAGGATCAACAGGGAAATGAGTTACCAAATGTAACAAAGAGGGATCTATGCGAATGACGAAGGGACAGCTGAGGTCAAATGCGGGGAAGGAGTCTTGTAATATCTAAAATGTAAAAAGGAAATAGTATATTGTGTAGTTTGAGTGAAGACTCAATAAAATATGTGTCTTCTTTGAATGATTATGAAAGTGGATTATTCAATGTTGAAGGAATAAAATCATGTAGCATTGAAACTGTAAAGTTTAGAACGTGAGGTTTGGAATATATATAAGATGGAAAATTTTGATGAATGAATGGTGTAGCTGTGGGCGAACGAACGTTTACTAAGTTACAAGTTCGCATGTATTTTTACGGTATTTACTTATTTTGAGGCACTATTATATCCCTAAAGTTTTAGTTTACAGAATTAATATTATGGCATTAATGCAAATACTGAAAAGCCAGTATAAATAAGGGCTCTACTTAATTGCCTGACAGAAGCATGAAAGCCGTCCTCTATGAGTGTGTAGTGACTCACATTTAGCTCGGGAACACGACTGGTTTAATAAAAGCAATTATTGTTATAACCAACTGTACCAGTGCTTGTTTTAATGTGCTTTTGTTTAACTGTGCTAATGACAGTTATATTGTGCTTCGATTCTTATTCTTACACTTTGATTGTGACTTCGCGCGAATTCGGTTACGTTCTGTAACCAAGCTTGTATCCTGGCACGATCTCGGTATCCTTTCGATGCCACGAGATCGCCAGCGAATATATCTCAATTTGGTCCATTAACTGTATTCTGATATTTGGCTTCTCGGGGATTCTATGGATTTATTTGGTTACGTTCAACCTTCGCCTTCTGATTTACTTGGCACGTGTTTCTTGGTAGCGGTGTTCATAGTCAATTCCGACTCGATGCCAAGCTATAAGTGTTTTTGAAAGAAGGCTATTCTTTGTTAGTGAATACCTAGTGAAGAACGAGCTTGTCCGAGTTTTGTTTCATATTTCTAAAGTTGAAGCACTTTATAATAAATTTCTTATATTCATGGATCTAAAGTGAGGGATGTGATATATAGGGAATTATTTAGTTTCTATAGTAGTGTAACGGTGAACAAATCCCCAAAATAAATAGCTCTTTAAGTTTTCGACATTGGATGCTGACCGTATTAGTTTTAATGGACTCACCTAGCTAAAGGCTCTCGGTCATGTATCCACACCAGATCACGAGTGGGAACGCCGTGCTCAACAACCCCTGCAATCGCTAGCCAGATTAGATCAGACGATCCTCGATATATTGATAGCCTAGCAAATCTATCTTCGAACCTCCACGCTTCTGTCCTTTGATTTCACTTGGTGGGTAAGATTCATATTAGGTGTTACTGGTTAAAGCGTTGTCGGACTCCGAATACCTGT